CGGGGGGGCTTCAGCCTCCTTCTCCCCCTTGCAGGTATTTCGGACTGTTAAAGAAAACAATACGGGGAAAGAGGGCGTGGTCGAGCTTATTTTAATCTGAAATTATTTATGCATATGTATAGCTAATGTCGCTCTTCACTGCATAAAAGGTTGCGTAGATGGTCATTGTTAGAAACTCGTTGTCAGAAGGCACTGCTCGTCACATGCTTAGTGGTTCGGAAGTTCAAAGCTGTCTTTTCGACCTTAACACCTGTGCCGATAGTAACAAAAGAAAAGAAAAAAGAATAAATGCGGGAATAAAAAGCAGGAGAAAAAAAAACTATCAAGAATTCGTCGGAAGTGTTCTATTCTTGCATATTCAGAGGTTCAGAACTTCGAAACAAGTTTCTTTTACCAAAATGTGTACAGGCTAAAAGAAACACGTCCCAGGAACGTGAAGCGAAAAAAAAAAAAGTTTTCTTTTAATGACGTGCTGAACTTGAACACTACTAGAAATCTTCTCCCATGAGTTAATTTATTCCTTAACGTGAAAAAACAATACATATATTATTTTGTATTCTGCAGATGGCAATGATATGTACTGTCTGTGGTGTTAATTTAAATGCGATACCTCAAACAACTTAGACGAAAATAAATATCAAGTTTAGGTCATAATTGCATGCAGATACATGTTTGGACATTTCTTCGAAACTCACGTTGAATAACAATAATCACATCTTAAGAGGGCACTTACCTAGGCTATACATAGTTCATTCTTAAAAAAGTATAACTTATCTACCATGAATAGCTCCGGCTGCTGCGTGCTTCAAATCTGGCACAAACGATAATCGTCAAAAACCCGTCGTCCTTCCTCGTCCCTTCGGGGATTTATTTCTTTAAACCTAAGCATGCCAGAACATTGAAATAAACGACATTGTCTTTCGTAAGGAACGCAGCACCGCGTGCAAAAGTACGAGAAAAAAAAAAAATTACGAATGTACCCCACTACTTGAAATCAAATGAAACCGTCCGCCGGTCTTTCGAAGTTCGATGAACGTCGAACTTTTACCCTAAAAGTTCGAAGTTCGTCGAACTTCTGACTTTTCAGAATTCGAAAGTTCGAAACTTTTCGAATTATCTTGATAAATAAGTTCGAAAGTTCGAAATTCATCGAAGTTTTTGGTCAGTCAAGTTCGAAAGTTCGACAAGCATCGAACCTTGCAGCGCAAAAAATTCGAAAGTTCGAAAAATATCGAATTTTTTAGCGTAATAAGTTCGACGGTTCGAAAAGCGTCGAACTTCTCAGCTTAACAAGTTCGAAAATTCGACCTCCATCGAATTTTACGATATAGACAATTCGAAAAATCGAAATCTTTCGAACCTTTCGAACCGCTTGATTCGATCATCGAAACTTCGATTCGAAAAAAGTTCGCGGCATCCCTAGTTTAATTCAAGAATACCATTGCTTGTTCAAAGTCAGAATGTTCTACGCACCGAACTTTCTATGCCGATTGTTCCAGAAGTCCACGCATATACATGAGGGGCTCTGCGTGCTCTTGCGCTCGATCGTGCTACTCCGCCGACCTTCGATGCCTGTGATGCTACCTCTTTGTATTTTTGTTTTCTGCACAAGTTTGCCAAATTAAACGTTTAGTTTCTGTTCATTCGTCACCTGACCATCTGTCATTCACGAAATTTTGGTGGATGTGCGGGACATTAACAAAAAGGTGCATGCGCGGCCAGAAATCGAACCTTGGCCCTTTGTGTGGGAACCAAGTATGAGAACCATTCGGCCACGGGCGCGCTTGCTCGGAGACGTGCGGGGAAATATGTGCTAGTGCAGGCACTTGGGCTAAGCCTAGGCAGAAGCTTAAACCGTCAAGCAATAATGACAAAGTTTGTCCGTGTTTATCCAGTTCAGTACGCAGAAAATATTGCTCTGTGTGGAGGCGAGAACCATGTGCTACTTACTCTCAACTCTGACAGATTGTGATATCTAGCCAAAGGTGGAGGACGTGAATACCTGAGTGCAAAAAATGAAGAGAAGTATACAAAACTGCACGCCGATGATTTTGCCGAGTTCGACAGGCAATGCCCAGCCAGGTGCGCCCTGCTTCCACAGCCCTTTGCAGCAAATATTTCTAGAAGTGGACCTTTTATATAAATAGCAGGCACCGGTTTTGGAATTGGTGAGCCAGTTTTGTCTTAGTGTCATTCCCTTGTCAATTTAAGCGCGGTGGGTAGATGTGGTGCTGCCGGGAATGTTCGGTGGAAGCAGGTTGCTGTTAGGAAACAGGACCGGAGGCACCGTTTTTTTCCTGACACAGTCTCATTAATTGGATCTGTCTTATCCGACACAAAACTCGAGTAACCATGTGTGGATTGTCTCTGCACCATGTGTACACTTAAGTTTTTGTAAGTCTTGCTGAGGTGTCGCCTTGCTAGAAACATCAACACGGTTGGACCTACAGTCACCTTGGGAGCCACCGACCAGGCACAATATGTTAATGACAGCATCTTCTTCATAGTTATGCACAGTGCAGGTCATGTTCACATTTTTGTGTAATTGCTGAGATGGGTACAAAAGCTGTCACTTTGGGCCACTGGAGCCAGCGCAGTTCACCATGATCACAGTGTAGCAAAGCTGCAACCCAACAACATCAATGGCCACCAGCATGAGGCTACCGACGGCACTCATGCATAATACATGTCCTGACACAGGCGCAAACCACGTATTATGGAGATGAAGCCAGACTGTTTTTTATACCTACCATTTGGTGGTGGTGGAGCTGCCATCTGTGCTGGGTCCTCACTAGCACCTTTGGCCACAGCAGATGAGTCCTGCATCATCCAATCAAACACAAGTTAACGCACAACAAATTGGCAGCCTTTCTGGTTCCGCGTTGATGTAATGCCCATTGCCTACACTTTAGAATTCGGGTATCGGAGTGCCTCATGCACAGCTCTAGAGAAATTAACTCGTCAGCTTGAGCGCTACGATCCGAGCTTTTAAAGAAACATCACGAGGCAGCACACTCGTGCAAAGTCAATAAGATTAAAAACAACACAGTGTCTGTTTACTACAAGTAGCAAGTTTTAGGAGACCGTTACCGTGTTCTGCGGTGGCCACGGTACGGCTGGTAAGGCTTTAAACGCGCTGAAAAGCATGCTTCAAAGTTACAGCGCGAGCTTCCAGTAGCAATTTCGCTGCGCACGGCAACGGTACGCTAAAACCGCCCACTGAGATGCCATGCACTTACTTACCGACACTGCAGCCGAGATGCCGTGTGGCGACGGACGAGGCGCGTCCGCCCTCGAAATCATGCGCCTTCTTCCGTGTCTTAGAGAGGAACCTTTCTCATACGGGCCAAGATTCTGTCCTACTCCTCGAGTTCAGCGAGGACACTTGGTTCACGTCCCCCACCAGACTGCCGAGTGGTAATCGCGACGTGAAAAAACCCGACTTGACAGCAAAAATTCCAACAGTGAGGCAAATCTTCGTACAGACACACGAGCACTTTACGTGCGACGTCCACCGTCGGCCATGACGATTCATCACGATCGCGATGCAGCTCACGCATTGCGATCATCTAAATTGTTTCACTTACGTAGAAAGACATGATTCATGCGACCTAGACTTGACACCGGTAATTATATTTAGATTGTACCGCATTATACATTTTCAGAAGTTAAAAATGTTGCTTTTACGAGACCCTTCGATGCGGCGTTGCGCATTTCCCTCTAGGGACATAATTTGGGGACAAATCCCGATGAAGTTTCAACTCAATCGCCACTCTCCGTCGACGTCATCAACGCGCCGCGATGAAGTTCCCTGCCAGTTGAGTTCGCCGCCGATTGAGATTAGGCCCCTCCCACCGGCGACGTCACGATGAAGTTTCTTCATCGCTTTTTCCAGCATAGACAGACAGATGACGTGATGCGCGCGACGAGAATATAATCTCGCCGCACGCGCGATGCGAATGCGCAGCAGTTGCGCGCCAGTCCGGTAGAGCGCTCTGATAGTGCCCGCTGCCACGCGCTCCGGCGTTCCCGCTAACTGTGATCAAGATAGTACAACTACTTTCCAAATGGTACAAATAGGATGATAGTCATGGTGATTTTATTAGAGTAAATTGATATGAAACTTTCATTCCCACAAAAGCAAAGAATGCTTGTCAGTGCGGCCAGGACACCAATAATTTACTCTTCTGACATTAACCGAGTATTTTTACCGCAGTGAATAAATTAAAATACATCTAACAAATCCGCTTGACTGTGGAATACACGGTGAAAATTTTCAGTAACTCAACATAAAGCAATGAAAAATCTAAAAGAAAATGACAAAACGTTCAGGTCACTTAGTCACATAACATGATTTTGACACCCGTTTTTGAGCGCTTGGGCTGCAAGTGGTACTACCAAGTGATACTACTTGGGCTGCAAGTGGTACCATCTGGGCTGCGAGTGGTGCCATTTGTGATTCAAGTGGTATATCATTTTGGCTGTTAGTCGTATACCATTCGGGATGCACGTGGTAGACTAATGAGGAAGTGGTACCCCTTGGGCTGCAGCGGTACTCTTTATTTATTTCATTGATTTCAAATACCCTCAAGGTAAGTACATTGAAGAGGAGAGAGAGCTGTAAAATATCAACTATAAAGTGCACATATTAGTAATAGCATTTTTTAAGCATAACAATATCGGTGATGTTAGCAATCGAGGCGGGAAGGTGGTTCCAGTCTATAGATGTGTGTGGCATAAAAGAATATTGAAATAATGAAGTTTTAAAATTTGGAATACCAACCTTATGGCTATGATCAGTGCGAGCAGGTATGTAGAATGGAAGAGTAATCAGTTTATGGGATGCGAGTGGCGTCAGGCCATGGGTTCGACACCCCGATCTGACGCCACACGACAAAAGCAAATCTAAGGGGCATGGGTGGAAAACGCTTCGGTGGGGGCCTCAGTCGGAGGCACCTTTCATGAGCACCACGCCCCAACCTCCGTCTCCCATAACGCAGACCATGTACGCCGGAAACGCCGCCGCCGCCCACCTGCGCGGGGTGCAGTCCCTGAGCCGGAGCCCCGCGCTCTCGGGCCGGGCCCTGGTCATTACCGACGACACTCCCGACGACCTGTACGAGCTGGTGCGCCCGTTCTTGGCCAGCCGGGGCTACGGCGTCTCCGCGTTCACGTTGCCCTACGCCCTCGCCCTGGTTCTCAGCCTGCTCGTCGTGTGTGTCCTGGCGCTGGCACGGACCCTGAACGTCAAGCTACCCTTGCCGGCGACGACGCCGTCCACCGTGGCCTACCTCTACCACGGCCCGGTCCTGGACGGCAGAGACGGTCGCCTCGCCCTCGGCTACGAGCCCCGGTTCACGGCTGAAGAATCCGTGCGCAGATCCCTGCTTTACTACAGCACCGTCAGTTTGTGAGCGTGTGGCCACGTCTCTCCGTCGTGGCCATATCACATGTGCCTTACTTCCACCATAAAAAAAAAACTTGGTGACCACGACTGGGAAAGATCGTGTTACGGGTGTGCAGTTCTAACGGCGATTCTCACCGCATGTTTTCCAAACCACTTTCACGGCTTTGTCTTGTAACCGCAAGGCGCCTTGAATGCCCTTTTTTTTTTTTGTGCGCGTATGTTGTTTTTTGTGCAGCATTTCTTTGATTGCTTAAAGAAAAATCTTCGTAGAGATCGCTGGCTGGCTGCACTATGCTGTTGTGTGTGGCCCCTTTGTCTGCCGTGTTTGTGCACGCAGGCCTAAAAATGTATGCACGTCGTTGTTGTTTGTCCAACGTGGGGGACAATCTGGTTCTAGTTTCATTGTTTTTTTCTTTGTATACAGTGTTTTGTACTGTTTATGGGATTTTATGTGGAATCTGTCATTATCAAGTAGTTTTCGTCCTCTGAGACTTTCATTTTGTCTGGAGAGATGGGGCGGCTGTCACCTTGTCAGGCATGCCAATGCTTTGTGGCGGCCCCCCAGACAACTGCATTCCTCGACGGCTGTCTGAATAAACTTTGATTTGATACCTAAGTTGCTCTGGAAGCAGCTGGAGATCGAACCTGCCACCACAGCTTTCTGTTCTGGCCACGAGCTGTCGTTGATTTTGCTCTAGTCGCTAATATATACGCCGACGGTCCATGACATCTGGAGCGCGTACTCTTCCGCAGAGAACTTGGGAAGCCAATCGTTTCAATCTACAGAAGAAGCGGAGCTAATCACGAGGCTCAAAATATGTCTAGAACTGAAATAAACAGCCTTTGCTGTGCTACTGACCAGGCCGTGTCGCTAGGCACAGTGCTACAGCGCGGTCTGTTCGTCACGGTATCTTAACAGCCTCATCATTGGCCGAGCTCCCTCCATAGATTGCAGCGATTGGCTCCCCCAACTGCCTTGCGGGAAAGCAGAAGCTCCAGATCTTTTAAGGTTTAAGAAAAATTGGCAACGACCATTATTTCCAAGGCAGCACATCCTATTTTAACTCCTCCTTCTTCCCTCGTTCTATTGTAAATAGACTGGAACGACCTCTCCTCACTTATTGTGACCCAGACGGATCCCACCGCATTTCGCAACGCTCTTTGTGCTCATTTCGGCTAATCCCACTGTGCCTTTCTATTTGTTTGTCTTGTGCTTTACTGGTTGCCATGTATCAATGTTTTCCTCCCCTTACGCTCCCCATGTACCCAGACTAATTTGTGTATTGCCGTTGCTCGTGGCGATGCCACGTTGCTTTGCAGCACCCCATGTATTCGCATATGTCGTTGTTACTGTTTTATGCTCTCGTGTTATGTACCCCCCTTATGTAATGCCCTCAACGAGGGCCTTTAAGGGAACTTGAATAAATAAATTAAAAAATGCATTATTTAAAGGGGTACTCCGGCGATTTTCCGGCCTGCCCCAACTAACTATATTTTCTAAATCCCCGCGCTTTGCTCTTTCCGGTATGCTATTTAGTATCGCGAAATTCAGAATAGTTGTTTTCAAACAAAAAATAATGAAAGACGTTTACAAATCTCTGTAATGCTAAATTAGAGCGCAGCTCTTGAGGAGGAGGAGGAGGGGGTATGTTCCTCCTGCTCCTCTCCCCTCCTTCTCCTCCCCTCCCTCTCCTCCTCACCTCCTCCCGCTGAATTTCTTCGTGGGTGACGTGACACGAAGTCATGTGACGTCATTTTTCCCGCTAAATGTAGCGGGGAAAATGACGTCACATGACTTCGTGTCACGTCACACATGAACAAATTCAGTTTCTCCGCTAGATTTACCCGGAAAATTTACGCCACGTGACCGCAACACCAATTCAATTTCCCGCAAAATTTAGTGGAGCGGTTACGCCGACGGCGACGCCGGAAGACGCGGAAACAAGTGACTAAGAGCTGCGCTCTAATATGAAATTGATGCAAAAACAAACATTGAAATATACCCGCGCTTTTCAGTGCTGAACGTCAGGGAAGCTTGCCAGTCGAGCAGGCAGTCTAAAAATTGAATAGGCCGAGTATTTGTTTTGTGCCGCTGCATGGGTTCTGGAGCGAGTATCCAGAGCACTCATTTCACAACATGAAACTGCTTGTAATCAGTCGGGAGCCAATTCTACAGTCCGAAGAGTGAACCTCTGCCTGCCGCTAGATGGATGGATGGATGGATGGATGGTAATGGCTCTACCCTTTGTAACGGGCGGCAGCTTGCGCCACCTAGCCTAACGCTGTCGTAACTTTTTCATTGTTGCCAGCAGAGATTTTCAGTGTGAAAAACATAATGGGGACGAAAATTATAAGTTCAATAACTTCGCGAAAAAAATAATTTATCGTCCTAATATTGCAGATGCTATTTTAGCGATGTTTGTTGGTGTGTTTATCCAATTTTCAGGCGAATCGGTGACCATTAGAGAAAGGCTGGGGTACCCGTTTAAAAAGAAGCTTCTTGCAAAAAAAAAAAAAGACTTAGAGGTGAATTTCGACGTATTTTTATCCCGTGAATCTGAATATCGCGTTCTTCTCCCCCGAAGATGTAACTAAGTGCGAGAAAACACGAAAAGCCTCCGATCAATCATTACCTCATATCCATATCTTTCGGCATGACCTCCTCTCTACTCACAAAGCCTGACTGTTCGACGACGGAGCCATAGAGTGCCCGGTCGCAGATTCGGAGCGCGAGGATCTGGTAGCACAGAGGTATGTAACTTTCAACTGTTGTTTTTGTGTGTGTATATATATATATATATATATTTTTTTTTTGTATTTCCGTTTTGTTGCTGCGGGCCCGAGGACCAGTCAAGCTGCATATTGCAGCTTTTTTCCACCACAAACGGTGAACAAAAAAAAATATTTATTATTATTATTATTATTATTTCTCGGGAACCCTGGTCCTCAGCGCGCAGTTTTTGCAGCGGCGAGGCCCCCAAACATATTGTTTTCAAACCCGACGTGAAAAGAAGCGGTAGCGTGAGGAACGCGAGAAGCACGAGAAGCATTCCGTCTATCGGGAGAAGTGTGTTTCGGCGTCTCGCCGCAGCGGTGCGCCTGTCACCGGGCTCTCCTAGGGTGCCCACATATCTGCCTGTCTCAGGGTGAAGACATCCATTATTGTTCTGAATGTGCCAGCGCGTGACGCTCTCGCGCACTCGGTGCCTGACTCGGGCGGTAAAATGGCGTCTATACATTAGCCAAAGATACGCGCTCGAGCTGAGTGACACAGGATTGCGCGCACTTCAAAATGCATAAAAAAACGATTGGGCGGAAAAATGGCTGAGATGTCACCACTCAAGCAAAAGCGCGCGTCTGTGTACGAAGGCACTCTAGGCTCTCGTCTCATTCGTTGTCTGCCGCTCCACCTTTTCAATTCCGGTTGCCGCGTCTCGTGGCGATATGCCAGGCTTTGTCAGTATAGAGGAGGCTATGCTTTCGGCCGCCAAGTGCGTGTCGCTCGTGTGGGCAGCGCGCGTGCAATTGCCAGCTTGCCAGGCCCCCACACTGACACCAGTCGTCCAGTATTTTTCTTGCCTCTGAAAATAGCAAAGGTGCGCGTGCATAGCTTTGGCTGGCGCTGAGGATGCGCGCGAGCGGAGATTTCGAAAACTCTGTATATGACGTCACGCTCCGCGAGAAGGAGGGGCTTCAGCGATACGGCGGAAATAATCCCTGGAGAAGGGAAACAAGAGGGACAAACACAAATCTTTAGACACAGCTAGGTCACTGGTGCGCCACCAAAAAAATCCGCCTTGTGCTTCAGCTGTACTTTGAAAGTGATTCTCTGCAGCCTCCGTGCACCTAATTGAAAAACAATCTCAATATTCGTTATCCTAGAGGCCCAATGAAAACGATTTATTCTCCCTCAAGTACAAAACATCCCCAGTTTCCCTATAAGGGGCGATCGCTTTAATTTGTTTAGAATACATTACCTAAGCGAGGGTCAGACTGCTTATACTTCATTAAAAAAACAGTCCGCAGACAAATTCCAACGCAAGTCACCACGAGATATCTGCTTCGAATGCCGCCTGGCAATGAGTTCAAGAAGAAATGACACGCGGCATTTGAGCCACAGAAATCGTGCTGTCTTGTGTGTTGGCAGACTGTCTTTTGGCTGGTGTATGAGCAGTGCGATCCCGGCGTTAAACGGTCGTCGACCCGTTCCCATTCCATTGTATGTAACACCCCGGCAGTTGCTGGCGACACGCCTTTAGGCACATCGGGGCGCAAGGAGGGGCAGAACAAAAGAACGCCAGTGTAGAGAACGCGCTGGGAGCGTGCGGTAACGAGGAAGTCAAGCGCGCCCCGTCATTGGTTGAGGTCGTAGGGAAACGAAAGCACATGGGAGCATCTCGACAGTAAACAAACGCGCGAGGCGCGCAAAGAGCAGGAGAATTTACACGCCGTGTATACCTGTTGTAGCACTATATGTCCAAAAGAGACACACCGTCCCCCTAATTGCGAGAGAAAAAAAACATGGCGTCCGCTTTGAACGAACCCGGAATTTGCTTACAGTCAGTACCTTTTATTTATTTTTTTATTTATTGATACTGCAATCTCTGAAAGGGATTTTAGCAGGTGGGTATGCACTTGATTCACAAGACACGCAGGCATACAAAGTAGCAAACAAGTCGCAGAGACAAAAGAACAAATATTTTTCGGAGGGACAAAACTAATTTAGAAGGGATTCAAATAAAGACAATGATGGCTGCATAACCACACTTTCAGGAAGGCTTTTCCAATCAGTCACCGTTCGCGGAAAAAAAGAGTACTTGAAGCAATTATTATGCGATCGAAAAGGAGTTATTGTTAGCGCATGCCTCTGTCGAGTAGCGTAGCCTGATGAGAAGTTTATTAAGTGAGACAGAACTATCCTATAATGGTCCATTTATTAATTGATACAAAAATTTTAGTCGAGAATGCTGATTTCTGAGAGTTAATGACTTTAAGTTAGCTCTGGTT